AAAGAGGCGATAGGTACATTGTAGGTAGGAATTAATCACTTCGTGCCGGGGTTCCTGATACCGGAGACCTTAGGTTTACAAATATAGCCGGGGTGCTCGAAATTGGACCAAGGAGCAGGGCCTTGAAACCAAAGACCATACTTGGAACAAAAGACTGAGCTGCTGGGAATTGCCAACTTTTTTTTAGTTGTCAATAGCGGAGGTAATCCGTCACTGTTTTGAAACAGTATACCACTATTTGTTGCATTCTGGGAAAGTGGATTATCATCAGGGACAAAAGCACCCCAGCGCTCCAATACCGCTGCACGCTAATCTGGCCGCACTTAAAAAGACGCCAGCAGCGCACTGGGCCAATTTTGGGAACAAAAGAAATTATGCAACACCGCACAAGCTGGGCTCTCTTTACATGGCGGAGGCCCGGCTGAAATACTTGGGTGTCAATGGAGGTTGCATGTCAGATTAGAGAAGGTAGGTGTAGACACTCAGTAAATGAAGTTATGAATTTTTTGAAGAATTTTGAAAACGGAAAAAAAAAATCTTGAAAATCCCCTGGGAACTCGTCATGCAAATTCTAATTAAACCCGGCAGCATACATGTATGGTCAATGCATCTGGGCGCCCATACATCCCAACATAAACTGGTCACCTGTGCCCAGCCTGTGCCGTGCCAAATGCCCATGAGCCTGTGCGCTCATGCAGTCACTTGCCACCTCAGGGACATCTTTGCTATGTGCAAGCATGCCAGCTCTCGCGCTGGAATGGACGGGCGACTCTAAGAACACTACCTGCCCATAACTGACTACTCACCACCTCGTGAGGACATCCTCCACAGTGTTGGTGAGGGCATGACCAACGTGTAAGCTACCTGTCACATTGGGTGGGGGGATGCAGAGCATGAATATGCCCCTGGGGTTGGGATCTCTTATGCTTTTCCTCTGTAATGTCAAAATCACACAATAAATATCAATCAAGGCTTCAATGCCAATAGGAAGGGGCCACTTTTGAAGTAACTTCAGGGGAAACAACAGCCTTATGTACTATTTACTAATGTACTCATTCCATGAGGTTGGGGCACTATTTGTGATGGTGTCCATGGTTACGTGGGTTCCCCAAAAATGAACAGCTATTTCTCTGCACGTGGATTCCAGATTGACATTGTTATACATGTACATCTTGCAAGGCTGAATACAGAGGTGTGTGTTATTTTTTCAGAGTAAATGACCTACTCTACAGGTCATGACAGGTGGTAAAAGTTACCCATGTAACAAGGACACCATCACAAATTGCCCCAACTTCATGGAATGACCCAATCGTGTCTCACAATGTTTACTACAATGCACTGGTGGGATAAAATGACATCCATCTGTATATATACTGCTGCCATAAGCATGAGTACAATTATCTCTTTTTCAAGAAGGTTTTGTGTAACCATCGTTCTGAATCCTCCAAGGAAATTATCTCCACAACTGGAAAGGGTATGACTGAACCTCTCGCTTTCTTGTGACCAAATGCAACTTGTACGTGCTGCTTCTACTCCTAACATATGACACACCCCATTCTATTCCACCGTGCACTACGGTAAACTTCATCGGTACATAGGACTATTGGGAGATGGTATTCAATGTTGCGTACCAACGACTCGGTGCCTCTTAACATTTTCTGACGCATCCAAAAATACCAGAAATCTAATATACATGATCTACTGGAAACAGCTTGATTACTACAGCGACCTGAAATATACGGATCTTGAAAGTCAGAGGGCCAGACATTTTGATTCTAACAGATTTGTTCTCAAAGGCAAATTTAGTTGGAATTTTCGTGTGTGGATAATAACACATTGAAAGAGCTTTTTGTGCATATTATGAGACAAGGCCAATATTAACATCAACAATTAAAGAACCATGATATGCAAGGTATCGATCCTACAGTTGAAAAGCAGGGCATGTAAATGAATGGTTACACACTGTATTATAAATTGATTCCTATCAGAAAGTAACAAAAAAGGAAGAATATTAAACCTTTTTGACCTTTTTACTGATAGTTTGAGAACAGAAGTGACCAAGCTTCTTGAGGGTCACAAGATTGCAGCAAGTGTACAACTGGGGGGTCCAAACCTAAGGAAGCTGATAGAGATCACATGAAACTGCACATGGGACAGTGCTTTATGAAAACACGTGTTGTTGTCTGGACATTGGTTGTATATCGTATTCCACAAAGGTTTAAGACTCAGACGAATCTCAAGGATCTCCTTCCCATACAGGAAGGGACATGTGCTATGAGCATCCCCTCGGAGGAAAAACAGGGGATTCCTTCAATGCTGAGGGAACAATCTGAGGCAAACAGGGTTACACAACAGGTCACACCGACCAACAGCCCTGTGTGATGCAAGGGAATACCTTCCACGCCTTCTTAGGTTATGCAGTATCCAACATCTTTACCGAGATACAATATGTCTAGTCTCACAACGTGCAAGTCCAAAATCTGATCACCTGACATGCCAGATCACACTGACTCAGTTTTGAGTTTTCTCCTTTTTTTGTTGAGAAAAGCCAGGACAAATAAGTTTCCACACTCACTCCATATTCCGGCTTGAAGAATCCCTGCTTCTCCCACCACGGGTACCAGGCAGCCTCAACATAGGTAGGACTGTAGGCATCAGGTAAGGGACCGCTCACATCTGGGAGAAGAGCACAGAATACTACCAGTTTTTTTATGACAGTCAGCTACTCGTTGCCTTTCCAGTGTCAGGATACACATACATAAAGTCACATTTTAGTAAGCATTACATGTACATCCGACAGCTGGGTGTTCACACTTGCCTTGGAGTTGAGCAGCAAAACAACGCATCCATTTGCATCACAAAACAAGGTGTCAGAAATGGCCAACACAGGGTGACACCAAGACACCATTTTGACCTAACACAGAGTCAGGCCCAGGCATGCAGGTGAATGCAGCTGGCAATATTTCTCATTTTGAGCCAAATCTTGCATCGTCTCTTCGCATAAGCATCACGGAAAAGAAACTACATGTAGCTGTGTATATATCCAGAACTGACAAAAATGTTCATGACTCACAAATACAACATGCGACTAGCTCTGCACCAAGGTGCATTATGTCACATAATTTTGAATTTAACTTAAATAATATAATTGCTCACATCCTCAGCTTTCATTTGATATATAATTTATTCCAGTGGCATTTTGCGTTTTGGAGTTTTGGATTTTCCATTTGCATATTCCTACAATTTCATTTTACCAGACAAGCTTTTTGAGATAATGCCCTTTGAACATAACGAACAGAAACATTCAACTTAAATTAGACACTCTCTTGGTTTTCCTTAGCAAGACAGGCTTTCTGGTCAAGCAATTGGCCTCCAAATATTTTCACCCTCTGCACATGGAATGGTCCATGAGGCATTTTTGCATTGCGCAACTTAATACACCTTTTTGCAGAGCGGGTCACACTTGCAATGGTCCCTGCGGTGCAAATGCAGTGCTCCATTTTTTTAACTTCTCCCCTTCCCCCTTCTCTTCAGTGTTTCATATTGGCATCCCCAAAAAGCACAAAGGGTCAGAAACCAGACTTGTCCGTGTGCTTCTGGCCATGTACATGTACCTTTCTTCTCCCCCGGGGGTGTGGGTCTGTCGTAGGTAGCTGACACTTTCTCCACTTTCTCTTTTTTCTCCTTGGCCTGGAAATTAAGAACAAGAAACAGTGCTCATCAGGTTTTAAATAGAGGTGCCCGTACATATAAATGAATCCCAAAGAGAAAAGTGACTTTGTAAACAACTGGAAAGGAAACAAATCATAAGCTTTATTCTATTAATACATCTTGACAAGCAAATGAACCCCTGCTTGTCTCTGAAACCCTAAAACCTTTCCAATTTACTGGCATCTTGGCCAGGTAAGGGCAAACCTGATAAATCTCTGCCTCTCGCAGGCAATAACATCTGCCAGGGCTGATTAATCCTAACCCTACATAATACTGCAAATTACTACTTGTAGTAAAATGTAGTAATCAGCGCTGTCGCTTGTAAGAGGGCATGACCGCATTGTTCTCTGAAGCCATAAAATACAATAGAAAAGACGATGTACATGTACCATACAGTGCTGTGGCACTATGAATGCATGGCTTTAGTATTCTCTGTATGAGTAACAATGGAAGTAAACCTAGCCAGAAGTAGTAATTTGTAGCACTAGGTCCTTCAGGCTCAGTCTATTACTTAGTATTTGTAGTACTGAGTGCTTGTAAGCCAAACAATACACATGCACTTGGCGGTTAGGGTTAACAATACTTGACCATATTGACACTGTTAACTCAGCGGGTCCCTCAGCGAGAAAGAGTTCAGTATCCAGAGTCACTGATCTTCCGTAATGTGACTTCAACCAACCAAAAAGTGTAAATCTCATGAAGAAACACCACTTTCAGAGTGAGAAAAACATTGAAGTTTTAGTCTGTAAATGCCAAGTTTTTTTTCTGTTGTGGCCCACAGACTTTGTAGGTCTAAGGTACACGCAGTGGCAGGCATGGAACTCTTGCTATAAAAAGGTATTTGTTCACACCATTTCAGTAGGCCTAATATGCTTCCAAACATTAAGCCTTCTACACAACATTGTATTTCTGTTGCAAAGAAATTAGGGATCCACTACCACTTCAATGCCATCTACCACTTGCTTCATAGTTTCATGTACATGTAGATTGGTTCCCAGTACGTACAATGTCCAGTATTGTCTCTAAGGTGGCCCTAATTTAATACTTCTTCTGGTGAGAGTAATTAGTGATAAGTAATGTGTCCACCACTTTATTTGCACTACCTACACACCCATACCTGAATGGTACAGTCCAAGATCAATCAAGATCAATTTTTTCCAGTGAAAATACTTCATTTTCAAAATTGAAATGTAACCTCAAACTACTGAAAATTCTTGTATCCGACAATCTGATTGGCTGAAGTCAGGAGGTCCTAGCTAGCTGACCAGTTGGCCTAGCCATTGCCATTTCAGTGTGTGTAAATAAGTATTATTATTTATTTATGGTAAAGTTCCTCAAAAGTCCCCTAGGCGCTGTACATGTAGCTCACAAACCTGAAGAAACCTGTAGAGAGGAGACAAAAGTGGGAGGAAAACCCCGCAGGAATATTCTGGGTAAACCCACAGAATCTGGTAGGGACTGAAAACCCCATCCACATGTGGACTGAGCCGGGAATCGAACCCAGACCGCAGAGGTGGAAGGTGAGGAAAGAACCACTACAGCAAGAGTTCCATATATGGACGCCAACAATAAAGCAATATTCTTCAAAAAGTGAACTAACCATAAAGATGATATGATTAGCTTTAAGTCTAATCTGGGAAAACGTGGGCTAGGTGTCTGAAAAAGTGACTTTTAGGCCAGATTTTGGATAAACACTTTGTGTGGACACTACATCAAACTGGCAGCCATCTTTGCACATGTATTCAATACAATACACATGACAGAAGACAGCAAGTGTGCTGTGATGAATAATCGCAGCCTAGCTACTGTACATGTACAAGTAGTTCCATTCCATTACAAGGGATACGTTTCTATCTAGAGGCACTTTAAGGATGAGTGTGGCACGTGTGCACAGTGTGCCAAGAACGGCATCACTACTCAGCGATCATGACCGAACAGTCGCCACTATGTTTGCAATGAAGTGAATAGCAACACTTTTCGCGGACGGTTATATATGGACCATTTATACCACAAGGCAATTGCGTAACTGTGATTTTCAGTTGAGATGAAATTATTTTCGAACAGTTTTCTGTGTACAAGTAATGAAAACAACACTGAGGTAACAGTACAGCTGAAAGTAAGAAATTTTTTTTTCTTCTAATTCGCAAGTTCAGAGAATCTTCCAAAGGGAAGAAAAGTCTGACATTTTATCAGGGGAAGCTTTTGTAAATGAGGAGAATCTTCTAAAGGGGAGAAAAGTCAGACATTTTATCAGGGGAAGCTTTCATAAGTTAGGAGAATCTTTTAAAGGGACTTCTACAGGAGGAAAACAATCTTCTGCTAAGACTTTCCTTCCCAAGCTTTGCTTCCAGTGTTCCTGTAAGGGTCTCTGCTGACTCTTGATTGACGACCTCAACCTGAAACCGCAATTCCAACATTGCCGTCTACAATGAATAACGGTTTGTGCGTACAGGCACACTGTCATGATGTAATACACGGAAGTTCAGGCAAAGTCAACTTACATGCAAAAATGAGTACCCTGTTCAGGCAAAATGAACATTTAATTATTCATGAAATTATTCTTGAATTTCAATTATTTTAATATTCATCACCATGAATATCACATTTTGTAAATATTCATCATGACATTATCTTGACCTCGGCTAAATTCGACCGTATCTTCAGACGGAACAAAGTGACTCAATCGGGCAACAAGCGCTCATGTACACAAGTAGCTTAGTCAGTTAGACTGTACTGTTCTAACAATTCTAACGACTAACAATTCTCTCTATCACAGGCTCGATTCCTAGCGATACCACCTGCATGTCTACCAATAAACAAACTGTGTTAACCCTTGCAATGTTGCATTGATAGGTGGATTGAGAAAAAATAGAGAGACAGTAAAAAATGAGAGAAAAAGTCAAAGAGGGAGAAAGAATAGAAAAAAAGATGAGTAATGGTAAAGGGCAAAACTTTTTTCTTTTTTTTTTGTTTTTTGCATCAAATGGGAAGGGGCTCCTTTTAAACCTGGGCATCTTCTTTTAAACGTGTCCCCCTAAGTTACAAAATCTCCTCTCACATCTCCTCCCCTCCCAAATAAATGCCGCCCCTTTTAAACCTGTCCGCTAAGCCAAATTTACTGAAAATTGGTGGAGTCCGTATATGGAACTCTTTCCATCACTACACAAACCCGACTCCCGAGTTTGGAAATGAAAAGATTATTTCTTGTTTGATTATGTTGAAGGTAGGCCCATTATATTTATAAATGAAAGATTACAATGAAAAGTAGTGAATATTAAAAAAAGCCCCATGTTATGATGTTTTATTTATGCTAGCCTTGGACACAATACATGAAATTTCATTCTACTAGCTGTTAAGCCTAACCATGCTATTATTAGCATTGCTAACATTCATTAGCTCCAGAGTCCAACAGTCACCTGGTGTCCATGGTGCCTTTCAGCATTCAGGCCACAATCTGACAATTATGAAGTTACAAACAAAACTTTAAACAAACACGTTTTGAGAACTACGCCTACATACCGCAGACTTTGCTGCTTTTTCTGCCTGTTGTTTAGCTTCCTTCTCTTGTTTCAGCCTCAATTTCTCCAATTTAGCCAGTCTTTTGGCTTCTCGCTCCTGCTCTTTCTTGAGCTGCGCTTCTGTCTTGGGCGGGCCAGAGGCGCCGCCGGGCCCATCACCAGCTGCCGCCTGCTCCGATGATTCACCAGCTGTCGGCATAATTATCAAGCCTAGGCTAAATAAACTACCGAACTTATCAATGCAATCGAACTGTTCAACAGATATGGGCAAAATGCAGGTTAAAAATCGCCTTTTATTAGGAACAGGTGAACACCTGGCCTTGACAGCTCCGTGATTGCATGAGAAACATGCTAATGTCAATATTGCGCATGCTCAGTACTATCCTCTACAAAATGATGAAAATTTTATTTATATAGTGTAATATTTCTTAAAGCTAAAACACCATCATTCTGAATTCAATATTTGATTTCATCTATTTAAGTTAACTAGACTATTTTCTATAATGACTAGAAAAAATTGAACTCATTTTTAGTTTTTTTTAAATTCGACGAGACGAACGAGGGGCAAGATGTCAGCGCACATTACACGCTTTCCCCAAGGATGAAGTTAAACTTGAACTCATGCCTTGGTGATAGGGAGAGGTTTAGAGGTCCATGAGGGTCTTTGGTCTGTTTTTTAGAATCTCTCGGTTTTCCAGCTACTTTCAGTGTATTTTCACAGGACGTAACCTTGATTTAATCAAAGGGGAGCATGTAGCCTAATAATAAAAATCCTTTTAGTTTTGGACAACCACCGTGGACATGGTGGATACGGTTATTGACGGTGGGAGCACTGAGCAATTTGAATTCCGGTTTGTAATTATGGGGATAGTGCCACACAGTATTTGAAAATAAAAATCTTTAAAAATGGAAACTTCAAACAAGTACAGTTATTACATCAAGTTACGTCATGCATCACTTCAGCTGGCACCGGCAAAATTTTGCGCTCCAAGGCTGGCCCACTGCAAAATTACATCATCTTGATTTGGACTATTCCGATCATTTTTATAAAAGGTCAAACCTTGCGGTCTCTCGTTGCGAAATATAAACTCTTTCGATAGGCCTATGATAGTTATGTATATTCTTTCATAATGAACTTGCTGGATGGAACGTTGTGCTTATAAAAGAAAACAGTATGCATGGCATCCAGCATGGGTGTAAACCGGGGATGGGAGTATGCCCTATGTATCCGGGTGTGCGGGGGGGGGGATTCCCCCCCCCCCACACGCACTTTTAGTTGCGATGAAAAACGTTAAAGGAGCTGTGGATGTTTTTGGACTCCCCAACTACCAAAACGTGTATGGTGGCCCTGGAAGGACATCAAACATCGCAAATGTCTTTGCAAATAAAAATGTGCGAAAAAAAATGATATTTGCGATGTTTGATGTCCCTCAAGGACCACAATAGAAAGCACTTAATATTCCTTTTTGACGGTTATCCAGGAATCTAATAATACTAGGGAATAATGTGCAGCTCGTGCATTAGTCGCAGCCATTCTCATAAGCCTGTCGTCAACGCACGTTAAGATCGGCCAAGCACGTAATCATTATTCCAGATGAGATGCATGTACGTGACATGAATATCGCCCCGTAGTGTCATGTGGTGTGAACAACACCCCTCCAATATGTCCCCATGCTTTTCCATCCATGGTCGGGCACGTCATAATCCTCCGACCCCCGCAATCACCCATCGATCCTCACCCCTTCGTTCCCAATATCATGTCTAAGGTACATTTTCCCCAGTGAACTTCCGTAGAAACCAAAATCAGGGTGTGGCCAAATTGAACAATAAAGGACCACTGCCAATTATTTGAATGACGAAAATGTATCAGCACGTTAACAAATTTGAAGGGCTAACAGAATTAAAACATTAAAGAAGAAACCAATTCACTTGTAGATTTACATCTTGAATAATAGGATGAATTTCTGTATCTCGCTTTCGTCCTCATTGAGGAAACAGGTTTTGGCCGCATTCCGCTGAAATGCGCCCCCGGATGTCATCCATATTTAATACGGCAATGCTTATTGCTCGACAAATTTCAGACGGTAATTTCTTCTATTCAGCAAAGGTTCTTCTAATAGAGAAAATTCTTAGCAATCTTTCTAGGCAAAAAGTGTTATACCTGCTACCTCAGTGTTGTATGGTACTCAAGTTGTAGAAATATCGTTTTAGGCGTTTGTGAAGGGGGGGTGTTAGGTTATTCGATCTGTAGCGTGATCTTTGACGGGTTCTCTCGCTTGTCACCAAACGCGAAACAAACGGAACAAACTTATGCTTATAGCTTAAGTCTTAACTTTTATTCTGTTGCAAAAACAATATCGTCCAGCTGGGCATACATCAACTTTGGGCGACACTCCAACGACACTCCAAAACAGGCCTAACACACTGGTCTTATCTATGGTGTACCATATTATGGTGCACTATTTACGACACACATTTCTCTCTCTAGCCTCTCTGCAGGCGACGCAACTAAACGACGAGACGGCACGCCTTGCGTCAGGCCACGCTGTCGCCTTCTCGCCATTACGTACGTTTGTACATTGAGGGGAGGGGCATAAAAAGTAAGTACACCATTATTTCCAGAATGCAATGCTGCAAAACAATGCAGGTAGCTTTTCCGGAGCGCGATGCTGCGGGTAGCTTGTCACAGTGATTTTGGTAGATAGGATTGTGATTTATTTTTAAAGGTACTGTCACTCAGAGTCTGCCTACCAGCAAGAAATCTAAATTTGTCCACGATAAACCCGGACACACATTCACATAAATACTGACATCAATGCTACATGCGTTGTAGTACGTCGTTGTCACGGTAAAGCAAACACGTAATTTTCGTCGGCACCTACCTGGCGTGAAGGTTGCAACAGTTTTTGTAATCCTTTTGAAGGGTTTGTGACTTAACGAAGATGACTCTTCCTGTACAATATTTAAGGTGGGTTGAGGTGAATTTCTCTCCGAGTCTTCAATCCCTAAAATACGATAGCACTGGTGTGTTAGTCCTGAACACGTTCTCATTATTTTTTAATATGTTTTGTACTTGCTTATAATGTGTACATAAAAATATGTAATCCCTCAAATTAAACAAACACTGCACAAGCACTTGTTAAAGTAACACATTTTAGCGTGGTCATCTAATAACACCAAAAGCGTTGTTTTTAACACCAAAGTTTTGCAGTGAACAATAAAGGCAATTTATTAAAACTGAAGTAACAGAAAATAACACGGCCTTTAATGAAATGGTTTTGTTGTTAATTTCAGTTTTGTCTGTAGTAAAATTTTGTGTTTGTGTTCTGTTCTGGTTTGTATTTTTCTGTGAATGTAGCCCACAAGAGGTAAGTCGTTTGGGTTTACTTCACATGTTTTTGTTCGTTAATTTTTCCTAATTTCCTCTCTCAGAGCTGGATATCTAGCAGCTCTTGAGACCTTCGACCCTGCAGCGTTGGACGTTGATGTATCCGACAAGATTTTCATGATTACCGGAGCGAACACAGGGATCGGGAAAGCAGCAACTATGGCGATTGCAAAACGAGGTATTAATGATAAATCATCTTTAGTGCACAACAAACCTGGAGCCCACAAAAGTGATTTTACGTCTTTGCCCTCAAAAGCCTGAGTTAGATGTCATTTTCCTGATACTGAGATGGAAAGAGTATGAAAACTTTGTAATTTGTAACCACTAGGCCTAACATCTGAAAAAATTACTGGATGCCTTATACATCAAAAAGATTGATTTGCTAACACATATCAACAAGTACCTATTGACAACAGAATGGATTTGACAGTGTATACAGTGGTCTTTCTGAGTTGGGTAGGCTATAGTATAGTTCGTTTTGAGTAAATTCCAAAATTCCTTCACTGTTTAGGTACAAGACAACCAGCGTTCCTTGTGGGGTAATTTCTGTTGTTTAGGTACCCTACAAAGGACCATGAACACATGTACCCAAGAACAAAGGAAATACCCTATAAGAATACAATTGTAAAAGGTGTGACTGGGTTGTGTGTGTGTGTGGGTGTGTGTGTGTACAGGCGTGTCATACATAGTGTGGACCTCTGCACAAAAGAATGGCACGTACATGATGCAGGGTAAGACGGCGTTTTGTGGACTTGCACATGTCCAAACAATGTTCCCTCTAAGGGGTTTAGAGGCATTTTGGGGTAGGGGTCATCCGAAGTAAAAGGGAGAGGAATAGTCAAGGAAACCTTATTCAAAAAAAGCCAAAATCTTGTTTCTGGTTGAAAAAAATGAGTTTTTCACTGAGTTTTCTTAACTACACGAAAACAAAGTAATGTTCACAGTAGGTATGTAATGTAAACGTGTGTGAAGCAGTAGTGTATATAGGCCTAAAAGTGCATGTTTAGTGTGACTGCATCGCGCCATCTTGAGAGCTTATCACTGCATGGACACATACGAATGCCCTGCCTTGCTGCATTCAGAATGTTCAGACTGGTGTTTTTACAAAAATTTGCGTTGTAACTATAAGGCCTGTTTCAAACGTCTTGCTTATGCCGGGTCAATTAATATTGAATTGAGCACGACATTAGTATGGCGTAAGCGCGGCAGTGGTTTCAAACGTCAAACAGAATTCCAAAATCCCACTCAAACTTGAATAAATCGAACATGGTGGACCAGCACAAAACGAAACGTGACATGCGATCTTTGAAACGGGCCTTAGTCAAGACGATATTAATTATTATAACACACCTCTTCCTTGTTCTTTGTCCAGGCTGGTTGAAATATGGTCACGTGTGGTTCAGTGGTAATAGGCCTATGGGCTAGTAGGCCTACATGAATTTGGCGTCCGCGTGACTACTAGACACGCGCCTATAGACGTTGCACGCACACAAATTCCAGAGACTAGTGCCTGGTCGGGTACTATACTGAGCACAGAGATATTACACACATATGGACTGACAGTGAGGTCACTAGTGCACGTTTATATCCCCGAGGGACTGTGAGAGACCAGAAGAAGGTCCTATTTCCCGAGGCCGGAGGTCGAAGGAAATAGTACTCTCTTCTCGTCACTCACAGGCCCGAGGGGGCATGGGCGTGCACTAGTGACCGATTTTGGCCAGTCCATATGTGTTGTATAACACACCTAAAACTAGAAAATCTTCTTTCAGGGGGTTTCAACTGTTTTCATTCGACTTTCAATAGCATTTCAACAATTGCCCCAAAAATTGAAGGTTCGTTTTAGTTTTCACAGACGCAGTCTAATTTTGAGTCGCTGAAGCCCTATAAGCTACAACTAGGAAAAAGAAATCTTCCAGGGTTTGGACTGTTTCAACTCAGGACAACCTCCAGAGGACGCAATAACCATTCAAAGATTTTCAAGACTAGTATCTGACCGGGCACTACTCGATTTTTGAATTGATGCTACTCGCGTGTCGAGTCATGCTGACACCAAATTCATGTACTAGCCTGGCACACGTGACCATATGTGACCCCGGGCCACTCTGTGGAAATGGAGTCATAAGTCGCCAAAGCCACTTTGGAGTAACAAGTCCTTTAGAATAATTTTGCACAGTGTAAATCAATGGGAACCACGTAGAGCATCAAAACAAAAAACCTCAATTTGCTCTTTCCAATACAAATGAAAACTCACAAAGTGGCTCTGGCGATTTAAAACTCATTTTCACAGAGTGGGTCATATATTTCAGCCAACCAGAATAGAACCAGGAATGGTGTGTAATAACACACAGGCCACCAGTGTTGCGCGTACAACCGTTATTTTGAAAAGCATGGGCAAGCAGTGGGCGAAACGATGAATAGCAGCGCGTTCAGTGCGAATTTCTCGTTACGCACCAGGAATGCATGTATTTATTTACATGCGCTCTAAAAATACGCACCAATTTTTACCTTAAGGTTGAGGTGAACTAGTATTGAGTGTAAAGTTAAACTTAAAACATTGAAACCTTGGAAGAATTCTTTTCCTCGTTGAGCATAGCAACTCAAAATTAGACTGCGTCAAGGGGCACTGAAATGAACCTCAACCTTTTTGCAATTTTGAAGCGCTGTTGAAAGTCGAACTAAAACCGTGAAAGAATATGTTTCTAGTTTGAGATGTGTTACATATGGACTGGCCAAAGTCGGTCACTGGTGCACGTCCATGCCCCGTAGGGCCTCTGAGTGACTAGAGGAGAGTCTTATTTCCTTCGACCTTGGCTTCAGGAAATAAAGCCCCCTTTTAGTCACTCAATCTCTCGGCTGGGGGACATAGACATGCACTAGTGACCTCATTGCCAGTCTGTATGTGTATACTAGATGCTGTGTGCTGCAGCATTGCAGTTACTCGCGATCATGCTGGGGCATTCAGGCTCCATAATGACCTGCTGGTGAGCTGGTGCCCAGGAGCGGCAGAACTCGCTGCATTTGAAATCGTGATTTAGCTCACTATTAATGGCAAATTTTATTTGGAGTAATTAAATTCCTCGGGACACATCCACTGATTGAAGCATTCTTGTACTTCATGTTGGAGTTTTTGCGCGACTGCCGATAAGCACCCCCCAAACAACAGTTAGACTTACAACACGAATTCCCCTGCCACGGTGGGATGTCGACTCCGTTTAATCTGTGATATAAACCAATCAAAATGATTTATCAAAACAAGGTTTCTGACATAACATTCTGAAATATCCGTGTTATGCTAATAGTCGTGGATACAATGTAGGCCTAACGTAAATTGACCCAGCATTACAAAGCGCGGAAAACCGTCTACAATTTGGCAGAAAATTACAGCCAAATAATCAGACTTATAAAGTTTAGTACTAGAAAGATTAAGTAAAGACTCTGCCGAGATTACAGGCTACCACCAGCAGCAAAACTGCAGCTCCAAATCAGTCACTTAAGCACGTTGTGTTTACATCGTTGAGTCTCAGTTTCTGCTGCAATACCAAGGCAATATAATGAGAAACACGATGTCCAGCATGACTCGAATGCCAGGAGTTGTGGTTAATGCTACGTGTCTAAACCACCGTCGTGTATAATGAAATCTGGACTCACATGAGCTACTTGAGATAACATCTGAAGGTATCCAGAAAGTTCTACATGAATTAGATTCATCGAGGGTGGCAGGTCCAGATATGTACCTAAGATCATTCTTAATGCAGTTGATACGCTCACGCGAGTAATGTCACCTCTCTTCTGCCAGTCCTGTCATCTCTGTCCAGCTTCCAGATGATTGGATTACTGCCGATGTTACCGGTATTTAGGAAGGTCAACAAGAGCGACCCAAGTAATTTTCGCTCTATTCAGTCTCTTATATCGGCTCCGTACAAAGTTTGCGAATTTCTTCCAATAAACAAATCCGACTTAGACCTCTCCAACTCAGAAACTGAGCAAACACCCATTCTGCAATGTCAGCTTTTCCCAATGGACATATTTTTTATAACTCCCTAATTGTGATGATCAACTAGTAGCTGTATTAGTTAAGGATTTTTTGCGGTTACACCATATTCAATACATATTCTCTTTTATGAGTATGTGTGGTTCTGAGAAGAACCGGTTTACTCAACGTTTCGGAACAGTATGCTCTGTCCGTCGTCAGGAGACTGCTTGACTGCAACTTGAGTGTGGCTTTATATGCTGGGCATGTGCGGTGAGGTGTGAAAGATGGGATCCTGGCTGCGGGTTCACTGAGGCGTTTAGGCGGAACTGTTGCTTGCTTGTATCTGTGGGCGGATCTCTTCCACTAGGTCCACCCTAGCGGCACTAGACAGGCAGATCTCCGCCACCCAGAGTGAACTCACCTCAACGTCACCAGAGGATTTCAGCAAGATTCAACAGCTCACCACCACGAGTAGTTACCATGCCTTCAGGAAAACCCGCCGCCACCAGATCAGAAAATTCAAGAACCTCCAATGCAAGTACGCTGTCAAGCGCCAGACTATGGGATCATCTATATCCCTACGTCCCACACTCCGGCCTAAAGGATCATCTATATCCTTAGGCAATACTAGTACCAAACCCCATCTCCGTTCACAAGCTGCCTTTACCAAACAAACGGTAGTCAACCTCAGCCAACGCAACCTATCTCCAGTCGAGACTAAGGTCCTCTCATTGGGTGAGAACTTCGCCCCTAGTACCTAAGTCCTCACCGGTAGAGGAGATTATTCAAGCTACCGAACCAGCTCTACGCCACCTGGCCAAGTCTGCTGCAGACGATGTCAGACTCCAGATCAGCCAAGCCCTCAGGTACCACAAGCCTGCCAAGCCCAACATCACCAAGCAAGAACACTCAGCCCTCATCAGCCTGCGTCGAGACAAGTCCATCCACGTCTTGACTGCTGACAAAGGCAATGCCACAGTCATAATGAACAGGGCCGACTACGACAAGAAGGTGTGGGACATCCTGAAGTCGGGTACATACCGTCCCCTCCGCAAGGATCCTACCCCGTCTATACATAAAAGTATAAATGGCAAACTACTTGCACTCCAGCGTTCTGGGCATCTTCCCATGACCCTGTACCGCCAACTCCATACCTCCAACTCAAGATGTCCCCGCCTCTTCGGCCAACCGAAGATACACAAACCGGACATCCCTCTGCGCCCCATCGTAGCGTCTCGTGAGGGTCCAACCTACAATGTCGCCAAGATCCTTCACCCCCTCGTTGGCAAAACGGAGCACCACGTCAAGAACTCAAATCAGTTCGCCTCTTTCATCCAAGACCTCACCCTGCAACCTAACGACATCATGGTCAGCTTTGACATTGTATCACTCTTCACCAACGTCCCCACCACCGACGCCTGCAGCATCGCACGAGAACGCCTGGAACAAGACCCTTCCCTCCAAGAACGCACAGACCTCACTCCGCATCAGATCCAAGACCTGCTCACAGCTTGTGTAAAGACTACCAGCTTCC